TTATTTTACTGCTTACACTGAGTGCTCCCATTTCTTATGTGTGTCCTCTATTGTATGGCCTCAGCTCCGGCTGTACCCCATAATGCCGTCAGGTAGAAAATATGCAACTGAGGACTCGTTTCCTCTGAGCAACATTCAAATCTCGTTGGCGGTCAGGACAAATCTCATTGACACTCATAGGTGGTCATGTTTTACATTGCTGCCTCTGGCTTATATCCTGAATATGTAACAATTGCTTTTTATCATAGTTGAAATTCCATAGCCTATGGTTTCATCATGTTGAGTAATGCTGCTTGTCTTGCAGAGGTCTCCCCCCTGGTGTCAGTCATTGATGGCCATTTCATACCCTTCTCCATCTGGGGGACATCGAAATATTGTAATTTGTCATTGTTTTTCTTATAGCTAACATGCTGTTGTTTTGGGATATCTGGTAATGGAAGATGAAACCTTGTTTGCATCTGTTCATGTTCAGATTTGTTTGGGTTCAGATCTCTTCAGAGCTGTTCCTGTCTAGATATGTTCATGTGTAGATTTTTCGGTCTCAGATCTGTTCCTATTCAGACCTGTTATGTTCTGATCTATTCGTGTCCAGATAAATTCATGTTCAGATTTCTCTGGGTTCAGATGTGTTCATATTCAGACCTGTTCAGATGTGTTCATGTTCAGATATGTTTGTGTGCTAATCTGTTAATATTTGTTGATGTTCATATTGTTTTATCTTCAAATTTATTCATAAGGCTGATCATGTTCAGGTCTGCCTGTGTTCATATCTGTTCTGTTCAGATTTGTATGTGTTCATGTTGGTTAAATGTTTGGAAATGTTCAGTTTTTGAATTTTCCTGTTCATATCTGTACTATTCAGATTTTTCTTGTGCACATCTGTTTATGTTCAAATGTGGAATTTACAGGATTAAGAACTATTATGGCCCACTTAAATGCCAATGGTCTTGAAGCAGGACCAGTACTAGTATAGTCATAGTTCTCTGATATTAAGTCATTGAAGTTGAAGAAGAAACATCAGAGTCTGGTTAAATATTTGTATTATTGCTTAAAGATGTTAAAAATGATTTCTAGTCCCTCTGGTAGCATTTTTACTCCTGAACTTTTTATACCCTAATGCATGTCTATCTGTTTCATCAAAGAACAATGACTGAGCATTGAAGATTCATTTATATGCAGCGTACTGATTTTACTAAAAATGTTAATTTTAGTAAGATCTTTAAAAATTATTTACTAATATATCATAGGTATAGGGGAGAAGACTTTTTTGTAATCTGGAAAATTAAGAGAAAGTTTTCAGTTGGAGTAAAAAAGCAGGTGAATTCATTAATGTTGTTACATATGTTTGTGTTCTCCCAATTTCATTTCTATGTTTCTTAGTAAGTCTAAGTACTTCAAAATATTTTAACTAAGCCAGGTTGTCGAATGTTCTTATGCTCGCTGTGACTGCTTATCTCGCATGTTGTCATACCGTTATTAACCAATCAAAAGTTGGCCAGGTTTTAAGATGTGCAGCAGCGATGATCAATCTTCCATTTGACGTGTAGGACGAGGCTAGATGTTTGTTGTTGTTTTACAATCACAATTCACTGTACACTTTCCAAACTAACAGAAATATATAAAAATAAACTCTTCTATTTTTAAGACTTTTTTTGAACTTACGAAGAGTTATTGCTTTTTACATTATCCTCAAATTGTAAAAACAAATATTCTGTCTTGAAAATTGTGTAGTTTTATGATATCAGTGGCTCCGACTCGTCTTTCTCTAATGGAGGAACTTCAGCAACCTCAGAACCCCAGGGAAGTTCCAGCAGAAACTGAATCTTGTCTCGTGAATGATTTAGACCTGGTGTCAAATGGCAAACAATCTAGATGGCTCCAAACTCCACATTTCCTTCTAAATATTTCATCAATCCTGAATATGACAATGGTAAATTTGTGAAGCTGTTTAAGGATTTGTTCATCATGGTGAGTGAGTATGGTTTTATGACGCTTTTAGCAATATTCCAGCAATATCACGGCAGGGGACACAAGAAATTGGCTTCAAACATTGTACCCATGTGGGTCTTCGGCGTGACGAGCGAACGCTTTAATCACTAGGCTACCCCACAGCCCCTCATCATAGTCAGAGATATGGTCTCTTGTCATCACAACGTTCATTCTTTGGTCTTTTAAATGTACTTGCACAGTGCTTGCCATGACGCAGAAAACATGCGTTTTTAATGCACAAATTATCTTAAATGCGCAGTGAATTTAGAAGCTTGCATCATTGTTGACGCAATGCTACTGGGCTGTTACATATTGTAATTTGCTGTTGTTTAAAAATACTTAGTTTAATGTTTGCCAGTTAACTGCTCAGTGCTGATTTAAATACCTGACCTGCCTTTTGTAGTTATGAAACAATCACAGTTGATGTCTTGATGAAAGTTTCGAAACATGTCCATGACTCCCTCTCATGACACCAGGGAGTCTTAATGACTTCCTCTCATGACACCAGGGAGTCTCGATGACTCCTAAATTTTTATGCCTAGGACAAACACTGCTAAGTTGGTCAAGTGGGTTAAAGTTTTTTATTGTCATGTGAAGGCTCTTGGTTATCTTCTCACTTGGGTGCAATGTGTGTAGCCAATGTTGGTATCCCCTTCGTGATATTGCTTTAATATTGCTAAACACGTCATAAAAACATTTTACAGACTCTCTGGTACTTTATCCTTTTTGTTTATTTTTTATGTCAGAGGTTACTGTTTGATGTTGGCATTTTAAGATTTATTCAACAACCAAGGAGCTATTAATATACCTTGCTTCTAACCAACTGGATTAAACACAGGTGCAGGTTTTTAAAACTGGCATGTGGGAACTCTGCATTACAATATCTTGAATCAGCTGCTGTTAAAGTCTGGTCAATGGCTTCGCTTTCCCTGCAGTTGACGGCCTACTATTGACTTTGAAGCCTACGTTCACAGCAGTGTGAATGGGCCGACCATAGCCTTACAGGTACACTTATCAATGGCGATCACGTAGCTACAGCCAAAAATGTCATTCATAAAGTATGTGTTGCGGCTTGTGCGAGGAGATTTATGTGAAGTCACGCCCGAATGCCCAGACCTATATAACAGTCGTGTTATTATTCGTGTAGACTATAGACGTTATTATTTTCATTCCCCATCCTGTTAAAGCATTCCCAGGGCTTGAATTAACATAAAACAACTTTGTACATGCAACAACCTTGGAGAAGGTTTATATTGAAATTCAGTATTTAAAACAGCTATAATCTCTGATGTGTTATGAAAGAAGTTGTGAATGGTAGTTCTATTTTCAAAAACTCGGTTAGGAAAACAGGTATGGGTAAATTGTTGATGCAGAACTATCGTGAATGTTGATAATATGATAATATCTTCTTACCTGTTTATTTGGCGACGGTTTAGATTTTTGACTTGATTTATTTGAAACTGTGGGAGTATTGAAATGTTTTCGCCCTCACGATGTGTGAAATACAGGGTTTTGTATTTCATTTCTTAACGACCTTTTGGTCATCAGTAAAATTTTATGATTTAAGTAAATGGTGTTGAGGTGATTGTATTTGTTACATGATTGCCATGGAATTTGTAAGAGTGGTCAGATCTTGAGTGTAAGATATCTGTGTTGAAGTAACAGCAGTGTTGATACCTCTGTGAGTTTTAGGGGTTGAAGTGATACCTAGAGTAACTCTTAGTCCCTAAACATATATAATTTGGATAGTAACAAATAACAAATAAACCCATTTAAATTGAAAAGGAGCCCTAGTGAGTTTGGAGATCCTGAACCTGGGGAAATCTAGACTTGCTTCATTTAGGGCTTTAGCATTGCAGGGAGGGCTAGGTGGATGGGGAAATAATGTGGTTCAGGGACTGTGAGACAGACTACATTACAGGGAGGGCTAGGCTGTAGGGACAATAATGTGGTTCAGGGACTGTGAGACAGACTACAAGACTACATTGCAGGGAGGGCTAGGCTGTAGGGACAATAATGTGGTTCAGGGATTGAAAGACAGACTAGGTGATACCCTGCAGTCTGTGCTAGTCATAAGATGACACTGAATGGGTCCTGGTCTAGCTCTGTGATTGGTTGATCACGCTTCCTCGTACTGATGGTGAGATGGTGCTCATAGTATTAACCACTGGTTTGTTTGGTCCAGGCTGGATTTACAGGCCACCTGGAAGGCCGTACACTGGGAATATTTCATTATGAGCAACAAACTGATTAAAACAGACAGCTGTCTGTGTACTTTAGGGGGTGGAAGATAACCAAGTTCACGCAGCTGCATGTTCAGATACTGCTGCAAAACTGAAGTGAAATAAACAACTCATGTCAGGTGCTTCTGGTAAATACGTCCTATAAATCTTGGACTAGATACAGTTGTTCTTTCATAGGCGTTAATTTCATGAATTTTACAAGTAAGTTAAATTCAAGAGAATCAACTTGATATCTTGAAGAAGGTTCAAGACACTTCTCTGGGTGTTTTATCATCCTTTTAACATTTTCAGTTTTAGTTTCAAAGTAGAATCCTGATTTATCCAGATATTCAGAAACAAGTCTGCAGTGAATGTCAGTGTAAATGTCACTAGAAACAATTGTTAACTCTGTAGAGGTGCCTTGTATGTTTCTGATCTCAAGACCAGTGAACTTGAAGAGGCTCTTGTGTTCATTTCTACATTATTGTTTTGAATGCAGTGTTAAATTACCTCTGAATTTAAGAAAAATATATTAAAACAGTGAATCAAAACAATTAATAAATATCAATGAGTTAAATCCTTAAATTTGAATATCTTTGGTGTGGCATTTCAGTTTCAGCAGAAGTCCTCTTCACTGTCAACTATCCATAATAAGTTGTGCTAGTAATAGTATCTTGTGCCCCATCCCTCCTGCTCCTGCAGAAAGTTGAAAACCTCATTTCTTTCCTGTGTCTCCAAGGAACTGAATCAAGATATATTTGTTGCTAAATTTTATTAACTTTATTTCAGGTGAATCTTTATACAAGAGAACCTCCCCACTAGACGACCGAGAGTCGCCAAGCAAAGAGTTGCCGTCAAAGTTGCTCAAACATGATCGAGTGAAAGAACGCCAGGATCTCTGTCACACTCTCAACTTTGACAAAGATCATGCTGCACGTCTCAACTCCAAAAAATCAGCAGGAACACAAACGTAAGTTTTCTCTGAATGTCTGATGGTTTGATCCCAAGACTTCGACACCTGTGAAGATCCGGGTTACAATTGGTCTTCAGTAGCCCATGCTTGTCGTAAGAGGCGATTAACAGGATCGGGCGGTCAGGCTTGCTGACTTGGTTGACACATGTCATCATCCCATGTCATGCTGTTGTATCTCAATTGCGTAGATCGATGTTCATGCTGTTTGACTCTGTATATGTGTTCAAGTTGGGGATAAGTGTTAAACTGTCTCAGTGGTCTAATACTGTATAATCAGATAGATCTGGACAAGTGCAGCCCCACACACATACGTACATGCACACGGCTACATTAGTGCAATAATCTTGAACATGACATAAAATTCTATTTTCACCTTACCTTCAACAAGGTGTTTCAAGAACCCAGTCTTACCCAGGATGCGGTTACACAGACAGTGAATTTCTTTTCTGCCTCTTACATCATATTACTATCTTTTACGCCATAATATTGCTTTACCAGCTAGCAGTCACAGATGCATCAACCCCAGCACAGACATACACAGTAGGTGGCGCCACTGTGTTGTATACTACTTTCCTACCACCTGCAAAAAACTACCTACTTAGTCATCATAATGATCAAAGATTCACTACCCTGTTGCGTGTCTCGTTCTAGTTTGGGCCGTAAACAAGAAATAAAGGCTTTTTGTAGTGAAATGTATTCTGAAATGAGTTTCAAGATGTATGAGAAACTATTCTTTTTGATATTAATTCTTTATTGATGAGATAATTATTTTTAAGACTGTCTTCAAAAGTTCATGAAATCATGAAGCTGAGTCAAGTGAGGATGTTTTCCCAAGACCTACTTTTGAGTTATGAATCATTTGTGGGTGTAGCTTGTCCACTGTAAACAAGTCAAGCGCCATTCAACTTTTGTTGATTTGTTGATTGCCGGTTCCGTTTCACAACACGCGTGCATGTATCTGCTCCACAACTAAACTATGATTCATAATTCTATATTTGTTGGTTATGAGTTTGACGTTGAAGCTGTTGAATTGTTCAGTTACTTGGTAATGACGTAAAGAGGCCGCTAAGTGTTGTTCCACATGTGGCTCCATGATGTTGAAAAAGTAGATTTCAAGATTGTTTTCTTCAACTAAGTTTTACTTGTTTGTGATGTTGATGATCAATAGTTTGCTTTGCTTAAGAACTTTTTGTTTGAAATAGTAGCAATGATGCCATGGTTTCTTCAGATTTAATGTATTGTCCCAAAATTCAAAGTGGAGAATACTCATTCAAATTTTCACAATATTTTTGTTGTCAGTTTCATATAATCAAAATTCCAGTCCACCCAGCTGTGAATGGGTACCTTGTAAGGATGGAAAGCCACATGAACTTGGTGCACCTAGTGGCTGCACCAGTTGTATGCTCCCCAGGGAGTTGAGATTAAAAATATGATATGCCGTTGAGATTGACTTCCATTGATCGAGGGAAACAAAGTGCTTTGAGCATGCACATGGGATGGACTATAGCACTATATAAATACCCATATAATAACAATTAATAAATCAAGAGTGAGGTAGTGAGGACCCAAATTTAATATTGTGCAATTTGGTTTGCATCCCCAAGGAATGACAGAAATTTGTGATCATGGATCTAAATATTTCTTGTACTCGATTATATTTCTAGGTCTCTCGCCCGTGTGTGTGGGTTACCCCAACTGACTTTTAGAACTGGTGAACAATTAAACACTGGTTACAACGTCAAAGATTCTTTTAGGGCTGGGGCGATAACCCAGATACCCGGGACATATGGTTAATTAGTTGGACCCGGGTACCCGTCTCAATACCCGGACCCGCTAAGATGATGTGGCTAATAGATTACACAATGTAATATGTTATTCTTTCATGATTAAAAGGCTGTATTGTCTTTGAAGATTTAGACATAATTACAGTCACTTATTTTGAATATAATACATGGTTAAGACATTGAAAAACTCGAAATTTAAGCCTCTGAGCTGAAGAATATATTGCCATTTCTTACAAATTTGATGTCAGGAATTAACATAACGGGTATCCGGGTAGGGTAGGGTAATAGGGGGTGGGGTACCGGGGTAGAAATAGAAAATTTGGACCCGTCCCAGCCCTAGATTCTTTGTTATTTACTGTTCAAATGGTTGTTAAACCCAACTCTCTCTATCTCTATCTCTCTGTTGATCATCATCATATTACTGAAATACCCAGTTCACTCACACATTCTGATTGGGGATTCCAGTGTGTGAAATTTATGCTGGTCCTGTGGTCCCTGGCTAGTGCAAATTCATCAGGACCACTAAATGAAAGTTTGCAGTGATCCTGGTGGCCAGTGAATTTTGTATTGATACTATCATAGTTAAGTAAATCTACAAATGTTATTTTGGATCAGTGAAGTACAGACAGGATGGCTAATTATTGTCCACTCACTGCTCTTGAGGTCAAGTGGGAAATTAGGAAGGTTTCTTCCCTGTGATTCTTGTTTTCAAATTCACATTTTTCCTGTAAATCTATAATATTTTATCGTTGCCATAAGAACCTGTATTTTGGAAATAAAATGTTTGATTACAACAGAAGTCCTCTTTGCAGTCAAGTAATCATAATAAGTTGTGTAGGTACAGGAACATTGTTAGGATCAACTGAAACTAGTTACTTGCAGTTTGTTATTCTGATTGGTGATTGTTATTATCAAATTTCTGTTTTTCAAGAGGACAAATAAATCATTCACAGTCCATTGTAATCACACTGAATATTCAGAGCAAAACCAAGCACTACTAGAAAGTTGCCACGCTCACGATTCTCTCCTGAATTAATTATGATATTGTAATGTGGAATATTTTAGTTTTATTGCATTTCTTACTGTTAGGTTATCATGCTTTTTTTTCTTCAGTCCAAATTGTAAATATCATGATTATTTCCAATGTTCTGCCATAAATGAAATTCATGCATAATTAAGAATAAACTTGTTATTAATGTATGGGTAATCTGAATTTTTATTTGGAGAAATGTAACATTTCATGACTTCCACAGGATGTTTGGTGACAGTACAAAAAGCATTGATACCAAATTATAAGGGATGAGATCAGTTTGAACCAGTCATCAACGCTAAATAACCTTTGGGGGAATCAAAAGTAATTTTAAACTGGGACAGCTTTTGGAAATGGTAGATGGCACGGTGGTCGTGTTTTTTGAGCACAGGTGACTGATCTGATGAATTTTATCAATGATAATTGCAGAGAGTAGTTCGATTGTTGTCAACATTCAGCAGAGAGTAGTTAAGATAGTCGTAAGTGCCATACATTAACATTAATTGTTATCTTCAACATTCAAAGCACCTGGACTCTAGAGTCTTGCCCTTACACTGAAGCTCATGTAGCATGTGTTCTGTTGTACAAAGCAATCTTTGTGCTAAGGTGGTCGTAACCCTCTTAGCTTAACATAGACTTACGACAGTCGTAGCACTAAAGTTGTTTAGTACAATGGCACTTAACTTTTTTTCCTAAATCATTTAAGATACCTGTTTCATTGTACAAAGAAATTTTAGGAAGCAATCTTTAGCTTAAGGCGGTCGTAACCCTATTAGCTTAACATAGACTTACGACAGTCATAGCACTAAAGTTGTTTAGTACAATGGCACCTAACATTTTTTCCTAAATCATTTAAGATATCTGTTTCATTGTACAAAGAAACTTTAGGAAGCGATGTTAGAGCTAAGGTGGTCGTAACCCTCTTAGCTTAACATAGACTTACGTCAGTCGTAGCACTAAAGTTGTTTAGTACAAGCACTAAAGTTGTTTCAGTACAATGGCACTTAAAAGGCGGTAATTTCTTCCTAAATCATTTAAGATATCTGTTTCATTGTACAAAGAAACTTTAGGAAGCAATGTTAGCCCTAAGGTGAATTAAGTAACCCTCTTAGCTTAACATAGACTTTACGACAGTCACTTAGCACTAAAAGTTGTTTAGTACAATGGCACCTAACATTTTTCCTAAATCATTTAAGATATCTGTTTCATTGCACAAAGAAACTTTAGGAAAGCAATGTTAGCGATGTTAGTCATTAGCGCAGTAAGGTGGTCGTGAACCCTCTTAGCTTAACATAGACTTACGACAGTCGTAGCACTAAAGTTGTTTAGTACAATGGCACCTAACATTTTTTCCTAAATCATTTAAGATATCTGTTTCATTGTACAAAGAAACTTTAGGAAGCGATGTTAGCGCTAAGGTGGTCGTAACCCTCTTAGCTTAACATAGACTTACGACAGTCGTAGCACTAAAGTTGTTTAGTACAATGGCACCTAACATTTTTTCCTAAATCATTTAAGATATCTGTTTCATTGCACAAAGAAACTTTAAGGTGGTCGTAACCCTCTTAGCTTAACATAGATACGACAGTTAGCACTAAGGTGTACAATGGCACCTAACAATTTTTTCCTAAATCATTTAAGTAACTTTAGGATCGCGATGTTAAGCTCGTAACCCTCTTAGCTTAACATAGAGCACTAAAGTTGTTTAGTACAATGGCACCTAACATTTTTCCTAAATCATTTTAAGATATCTGTTTCATTGCACAAAGAAACTTTAGGAACCTCTTTAGCGATGTTAAGCTAAAGGTGTTAAGTAACCCTCTTACAATGGACTTACTTAACTAAGTCGTAGCACTAAAATTGTTTAGTACAATGGCACCTAACATTTTTTCCTAAATCATTTAAGATATCTGTTTCATTGTACAAAGAAACTTTAGGAAGCGATGTTAGCCCTAAGGTGGTCGTAACCCTCTTAGCTTAACATGGACTTACGACAGTCGTAGCACTAAAGTTGTTTAGTACAATGGCACCTAACATTTTTTCCTAAATCATTTAAGATATCTGTTTCATTGTACAAAGAAATTTTAGGAAGCAATGTTAGCGCTAAGGTGGTCGTAACCCTCTTAGCTTAACATGGACTTACGACTGTCTTAGCACTAAGGTTGTTTTTGTAATATGACATT